TTTCTCCTCAGGTCGTTCCTCTCCATGTTCTCTTAATCATTTGACAGAATGCCAGGTGATAGAGCTGCGGATTGTAGGTTGTGATGAGGGAAGTTATGAGTGATCAATTGTCAGGGAGGAGTTGCATGGCAGTCCTTAGTAGTAGACAGGGAAGGAGTGAAGCATGAACATGCAGAAATAAGTTTGTTTTGTTATAATGTGTGGTGGGTTGGAATGGTAGAGGAAATCAATGATCCCTAGCTAAGAGACCTTGTGCTAGCGGGGGTGATCTGCTGGTTGTTAGTTTGGAATGCGGAATCAAGGTTGTGATTCAAACTGGTGTAGGGTGCAGGGTAGAAAACACACAAAGATTAGGGATTGATAGGAAATCCCCAAAGAACAATTCCCAACTTTACCGGGGTTTAGGATCAATTAGAAACTAAACCACACCGCGGAATAATGAAATCGCACCAATTCGATAAAAACTGAAACAAAAAAATTTTTAGAAAAACACAATCAAAGCAATCAGAAAAACACACGAGAATTTACATGGAAAAACCCGAGAACGGGAAAATACCACGGAGCCACACTACCACAAATCTTCATTATAAAATTCAGAAGGTTTTATAAAAAACTCACACAAGTTTTCTCTCTATACATAATGAAAACTTACAGGATTAGCTCCACAATCTCTCTCTCTGATTCGACGTAAAAATCACGCAGAATTACCAAAATTTACTTCTTCGATATTCGTCATCTTCATCGGGATGCTCGTCGAAGAATACTGAAGGAAGATACCTTGCAACTGCTCAAAATCGGACTTAAAACTAAAATCCCACTTAAAACAGTCCTGGTATGCGCCAATAGGCTGGTGCAAATGCGTCAACCTCTGGATATCGTCAACCAGAATTGAGAGCCTATGCGCCCAAAGGGCAGCGCATAAGCATCCCTCCTTTGTCGCCCACATCAAGTGGGCCCCTATGCGCCCATAGCCGACGCCTATGCACCGGCTTTTCTTGATCGAGAAGTGCCAATTGGGCGCTTGAGCGCCCTATGCGCCGGCACTGCTTGGGTTGCTTCGGCTCCACAACAACCCAACAGGGATCACATGTGTGGAGTATTGTAACTATGGAGGATAAGGGTGGGGAGCAAGCTATTGAAGAAGAAAGGAAATGTTGACACGTGGAGGCATTGAAGAAGAGGATGTACTGTATTGCATCCATATTTATGGGGACAATTGAGGTCATAAACTATGGAGGCGTGGCGAAAATCATCAGTTGATTTTATTAACATGAGCAGATTGTCCTTCCATTAAACAACTAAATCATATTATAAGCATCAACTAAATAATCGTATTATTCAATTCTATAAGTAGGGACGTCAAACATGACTCAACATGACAACCCGTCCTGGTCCAACTAGAAAATTTTGATTTTAGATTGACCGTATTAACTTTAGGGTCAAGTTCGGGGTGAAAATTCAAAAACTTTTAATTTTTTGTTCAGAATTGAGTTTATCAGCCAACTTATATAATATTTTATTTTATTTTTTTCTATTAGTTCACATTTTTTATTTGATAAGATTTTTTTTATTATGTATTTATGTATCCTATTTGTATTTATTTTTATATTTATACTTCAAATGGGTTATTTAAATCAGGTTCGAATTAGTTTTTTTTATAGATTGGTTGGATCCGTCTTAGGCTTTCGAACTGTTTAATAAACATTTTGGTTTCAAGTCATGTAAATTTGGGTCAAGTTATATCTTGGTTATACTCAAAATCAACTCGTTAGCTCGAATTGACGCCCTATCTATAAGTATATTTTTTTGTTTAATTCTGTTTTTTACTTACAGGAGGGCAATTTGACATGATGATGCATGATGGTTTAGAGTTTCTTGATACAGATAAAATGATGTTATTCGTATGTAAGCTATGCAAGAAAACATAAGATTCATAGTTCAGAAACCAACAAATAAAATGCATCCATTCTTAACGTGACAACAACATAGACAAGAACTAGAACTCAAGAAATAATACAATAATCAGATAAATTTGAATAAATTAGTAAAAGATGTGAACCACACAAATCTATGAGCATTTATAATTTAATCATAATTTGAATTCTAATTTTGCCAAATTTTTTCAAGAGCACTAGTATGCAAGTACCAATTTATATAAGATGAAATTTAGATCAAGGGAAGAAGTTACAAGTGAGAAATTAATGGAGGCCTTATGATAGTACAGGGAAGCGACCTCACCCAAAATTAGGCAGTTGTAGAAATGCAGAAAGAAGAGGAAGCAAAAACTGAAGTCCATCTTAATCAATTCATCTTAAAGATACAGTGTTGCCTATATATAGGCTAGCGAGAATCTTTTAGTACAGTTCTTGATTCAGGGGTATGGCTGAGTTGATTATAATCCTATGGCTGAGATGCATTTAGTTAGTCATACTATGGTTGAGATGCATTCCGTTAGTTATAATATTATTATGGTTATTACCCCCCTACAGGGCGATGGTTTTTGGCAAGAAACTGAAACTTAGTTTTTAATGTGTTGAAACGTTGAGAGGATTGATTAGATGCAAAAGGGGCCATAATCAGCTTCGACCCTGCTCTGATACTATGTAGAAATGCAGAAATGAGAGGATGCAGAAACTGAAGAACATCTTATTCAATTCATCAAGAAGATACAGTGTTGTCCATATAAAGGCTAGTGAGAATCTTCTATCACGGTTCTTGATTCAGTGGTATGGCTGAGTTGGTTATAATCCTATGGCTGAGATGCATTCATTTAGTTATACCATGGCTGACATGTATTCTGTTACTTATACTGTAATTATGATTATTAGTACTTGTATCGGACTTCAAATGAACCCCACATCTAACTTGTATACGCAAAGTTGAAATATAGAATAAATTTTGTTCAATTGAAGCTATTAAACTAAATGTTTCAAATTATCTATTTTGAGATATATCACTTCTAGGTTAGTAGATATGGTTAGGACAAGATCAACTCATTCCAGTTATAGATAACCCCCAAGTTCACATTTAAAATCTATGTCCAAATATTAGTAATATCAATAGCCGCATAAGTTTTTTTTAATGAAAAAAATTTGGACCTGACTGGTATCTTGTGAAAATAAAAAATTGTAAGTGGCACCTACATTGAAGATAGCATCTAACAAGGTGTCATAATCATCAAATTGGAATATAGTATTGGTTACCAAACCTTTGAAATTTTCCTAGGGATAGCATTGCTACGGTACCCTAGAGAATAGCACTGTAACAACACCCATAGGAATAACTCGCGATAGATGACTGTTCTAATCCTGAATATAGAGGAGAGTTATAGCGTCACACAAAGCTCTAGTTGTAGGACTCTAGGATGTCAGTTATCTATAGAAATAACATGGCAATGAAAGCCCTAACTTCCTTCAAATGGGGTTCCATTTTTCTTAAAAATTTTGTTTATATATATATATATATATATATATATTTCTAAGCTACTCTTCAAAATGATATGATGAAATCGGTTATGCTATTTAGGACTTCATAGAGGGCTTGGCGTGAGCTGATGTATCTCTTGATTGAGTGTCAAAATCTTAAAACATATTACTTATGTCGACAATTAAGAGATTGGGATTGGAAAATGGCTATTTTTACCTTCTTTTTTCTATAGACAATAAGTTTGTTTCCTGAAATTGACATTGGCGTTATTATAAAACAACTTCTTCAATATAGCCACTTTATTGTATCCTTAAATTGATTTTTGCAATTAATCTCTATAGTAATTGAATAATAAATATTACTCTTTTTGTTCCTTAAATTGAAGTTTCAATTAATCCCAATATTAATTGAATAATAAATATTATTCTTTTAAGTTTATGTTTTATATTAGCACATCTAAAATAATTTTAAGCATGTGACATTAATTTTATTTTTGTAATTTAACACTTTATAAATCATACGTATTGTAGCATTCGTAGTATCTTCCATGCTATCAGTACGATTTTAAAATCCATTAAAATCATAAATCTCATCAAATGTAGGAGTATAATTGTAGTCCTCTTTACTTTCATGTTATATTTCTCGACATAGTTTTAAAAATCGGACCATACTAGCCGGTTCGACCGGTTCAACCATTAACTAGTCATTCAACCGATTCAGTCCAAAATCAGAATTATTTTTGCATGGAATCGGGACTGGTCAGAACGGGGGTTGATCTGGTTCGATTTTTAAATAACCGGTTGGTCCAAATATTGTTCAATTTTAACCCTTTTGATATTGATAGGATGACCAAAAATAAAATATTTAAATTAAAAATAGCGAAAATATAATGTATTAATTTTTTTATTTAGAAAATTATTCAAAATGTTCAAAACTATTGTTTTAAATTAAAATATTTTTCATAATTGTCTTTTTTAGAAAACTATTGTTCCAAGCCCGGATGAGAAAAGTGGAGGGTTGCGTTTTTTCTAGCTTTGGCTTCATTAATATAGTTGTTTTCGATTTGCTATAAAATGTATATAAAGCAATCTTGTTCTTTGGAAGTTTCTTATATACTTCAGTCAAGTAAATTTCTGTGGTTGTGTTTGCTAGAATCTGATGCTTCTTTTGCAATCAGCTTATTTACAGTTTCCACATCAGTCCTGGTCATTTGTGTTTTCCCTCAATCCTTTAGCCTTTGTTCATTATTAATTTGCTTGTTTATTAGTTACTTTTATGCATTCTGCTTCAAGGCTTTCATTGTTAAGAGCTCTCTCAGTATTAACAAAATCACACAGACATTCTAACATTCTTCAATGTCTCCTTCGCAGCTGGTGCTTTTGTGGGAGTACTTAGCGGTGCTTTAGCAGGGCGGGCTTCGGACACAGGCATTATTCGAGGTGCTGCACTTGGAGCAATTGCCGGAGCTGTTCTTGCTATCGAGGTTTTAGAAGCTTACCATGCTTACTGGCGCTTGGATCCGTCAAATTTTGGGAGCACATATGATGCGGGACGATTCAGGGTTAGATTTTCAAATACTAGTATGATTATGATATTTGGGATGCTTTCATGCAAAAGTAAATAACTGATTCACAAATCACAAGTTATTAGTTATACAAACAACTTCCTTTCTTTAAGTGGAAATATGAGACGAACTCAAACCAACTGATGATGAAATGATTGTAAATAATCAATAATTTTAACAAAAAAATGAAAATAAAATTAGTGAGAAAATGAATTAATTTACACAAAATTAGATTTCTAAGGGGTCAATTTTAAGCTAAAAATCAAAAGCATTAAACTAGATAATAAATTAAGTACAAGAAATAGACAAAAAATAAAATCATTAAGATAAATTAGGTCTGAAGTCAGTAAAATGCGATGATTTATCTCATAGGCCTAACCAACCTACAAGCACATGCATTAAATAAAAATCTGAGCCTCGTATAGGGCCTATCTACTAATGGATTTAGAGCAGGATTTAACCTAAGGGCCTGTCTGACAACGAATTCATGCAAGATTAAAGTCGAATCCTGCCAGACGGTCATTTTCCGCAAGATAAATTATGAGATTCCATAAATCCGGATTCTGTGGATTTCGGCTGTAAATCTCGTAAATCCTAAATCCTACGAATTGGTGGATTTAACTTCGCGGGGCTTGGGATTTAAGTTTGAGGGCTTCTGATTGTCTCCACTAGTCATAACTACTTCCTAAATTCTCGCTGAAATTGTCAAACAGTTCTATCAGATTTACAGGATTTAGTAAATCCGTTGCCACACAGATTTTTGGCTTTTAATTTATGAGATTTACTAAATCCTAATAACTTAAATCGCATTTATTGCCAAAGAGCACCTAAATGTTGCCAGACGGTCATTTTGGACAAAATAAAGCCGCAGGTTTCATAAATCCAGATTTCACGGATTTTGGCCTTAAATCTCATATTTACTAAATCTCGTGAATCGGCGGATTTAGTAAATCCAGGACGGGTTTACATGCGAAAAGGAAGATGTGAGGTTACCTTTCAGTTAGGGCTGTGAATTTAGCTCGAAGATAGTTAATCACTCAAAAATTGATTTAAATTTTGGCTCTGATCGAGATTGGATCGAAATAAACGAGCTGAGCTACTAGTCAATATTTTGGATCGAATTTTTTTTAGCCAATTTCAAGTCGATGTCATCTCGGTTTGAAATCTAATTGTTAACAGTCTTACTAATGTTATGATTGTGAATTTAGCTCGAAGATCATTAATCGCTCGAAAATTGATTTGAATTTTGACTCGGAATGAGATCAGATCAAAATAAACGAGCCGAGCTACGAGCCAGAATTTTGGAACGAAATTTTTTCAAGCTGATTTTGAGTCGATTCCAGTTAAGCTCGAAATCGAATCGTTAACGACTTTGCTTTCGGTAGTAACAGAGCAAAAAGAGCAGAAATATAGGAATTTTGTTTCTCTCTACACCGCGATCCCATCGTTGCCTTGTCGGTTATCTCTTATCACAACTTTATCTGGAGGGTTTGGTCATGAAGGAGAAAGTTTTGGGCAAAACTAGGAAGTTGGGAGAGGGCGAGTGAAGCAGACGAGTGTTTCGGGCAAAGAGGGGGGAGGTTTCAGCCATAAATGAGAGAGGGTAAGAGGAGAGCGGTTTCTGATTTTATTTTATTATTTATTTAACTTGACTTTATTATTTTAATTGAGTAATAATAAATAGGAGAATTTACATACATAGACCTAATTCTTTTGCATTTACGTATCACACACCAAAACTTTGATTTTTACAAACACAACAACAAGCTTGTCACTCATCACACTTTTTAACAGTGAAATCTATATTTTTATATCTAGGTAAGAGGCTTTATTTGTAAAAATCAGAGTTTTGGTGTGAAATATGTAAATGCATGAGAATATGTAAATACGTGTGTAAAGTTCCATAATAAATAAATAATTAATAAATTAATAAATTATAATAATTAAATAAATTTAGATATAATTATTTATAGTTAATTAATGAATAAAAAATAATATAACTAATTAATTCCAAATTAAGGTTAAATTATTATTTAATAAGTAATTAGTTTAATAATTTTATATTAGTAATAAATTATTTTAGTAAATCATTAGTTATTAATTAGCATAATTAGAATTAAATTGAAATTTAATTTAATTAAAATTAATAGTTATTTTTTATTCTATAAATAAAATAAAATCTTTTCTATTCTAACAAACATAACAAACTTTTAAATCCTGACAGAAGTTGCCAAACAACTTGCCTGGATATAATTGGATTTATCAAATCCATTGCCAAACAGTTTTTGGAATTCAACTCTTACAGGGTTTACTAAATCTGGATTTATTGAATTTACTAAATCCTACTAACATAAATCTGAGGTGTTGCCATACGGCCCATAGGGTTACCCATGCATTATCAGAATCAGGTCCAACTCACACCAATACATAGGATGTTTTTTAAAATCTAAGGTTTATTATGTACACAATCTTTTCGTTTAGACTAGCCTTAAGAATAATTTGCATAGAATATCTTGTAGTGGATTGAATGTGAACTTAGACGATTTGGAAAGAGATTATACCTAAGGATTTGACGATAGGCTCATGATATAAGATCAAACTGGACATGCCAAAAATTGGATATATATCAAAATCACTTAGAAGTTTCAATTATTAGGCATTAGTTCCAATGATTGCACAATGTTAAACGGTCTCATTTTTCCTTTATTTAATTTCTTAAAATTTTCAATTTGGATGCACCATGATTTTATCACATTGCTTAAATTTCATATACTTGCAGTAGGAAACAACTTGTAATTTTCATAATTAGTTGTTAATTTCTTGCAAATAATCTTATGCTGATCATGCATATGTTGCACAAATGATTGTGCGAATATGTTAGGCTTAGATTTTATAGGTAATTCAATAAGATCTTTAGACTTTATAAGACTTTATAAGTTGATGCATGTAACAATCTTAAAGGAACTCATAGCAGTAGACCTATTAGCTAATGAATTGCATGCAAATTCAATGAAGTATCAAATCTCACCGAAATGCATTATCTTTTATCTAACACATGACAAATTTCTTAGGCTTCTATTAACCACTTCAATTTAATTATTTAGTTTGTGGACAATAAAAAACTCAAAATATGCTTTTAGTTTTTTTTTTCAAAATATTTTTTTCATAGCTTATGAATATTAATTAAATCTTGATCAGAAACAAGTGTTTTAGTACATTTAATTTATGCGCTTCATTAAAAATATAATTTAACAGTATGAGATGTATTAGAGTTCTCTTGATTTGGTTTAAAATGTGATATTTCTGAAAAAATAATAAGTTACACCGATCTAGGAATGACCGGCTGTTACGCCAATTCAGATGGGACCGGCTTTACGCCGGTCCAAGAGGGATGGCCCAACCATGCTGACCGACCGTCTAGGAAGATTCCAGACCCCACCTGGGGTCTATCAAGCCAATAATCACGTACGCGAAGAGAGGAATTAAGGAAAGATTTGGAGAGAAAAGTTTGCAAGCATTTGGGGGGAAGTTTGAATGTGGTTTGGATATGTTTTATTAGGACTAGTCACATGGTTTTATATTCCTGCAGTTTTCTTTCTTGTTTGTTTGCTCCTAGCGGCATCTAGGGTTTTGGAAATCCAATCTACCTCTCGAATCATAGATCACCCTTGTATCATATTTGTTTGCTTAGATATTAATAAAATTAGTATGAATCCGGGTTTCTTACTGATTTCTTGCAATTTGTTTATTGTTTTCAGTGCTTAAGCGTATCAAATTGGTAGCCGGGCACGATCTTGGAGAGATGGCAGCAGAGAAAGTTAATTCTTCGGAAGAGAGATTGGAAATGCTGAGGAAATGCTGAGTAGGGCAACTTAAATTTGAGGTAGGAAATGCAGAGTAGGGCAACTTAAATTTGAGGTAGAGGAAGGGGTTCTCAATCATATAGATGAAAGGTTTTCCTCCCTGGAAAATTGATTTAAGAGCGTAGAGGAAATGCTGAAGAAACTTATCGAGATGCAATTCAAATCCCCATCAACAGCTCAAATCAAAAACCTTAACCAAGGGTTGACTGAAGAACCCTTAGCCAAATCGAGAGGGAAATAAATCGAATCCGAGGAATATGAGGAGGGAAGCATCCACCATCAATAACTTTCCTCGAGGACCCTGATCGAGATTTGTGAGGGAGGGGTGGGCTGAAACATGAAGGCGGGGTTATATAAGAGGTTTGGAGGAACATGAAGATGGGATGAGGGAAATGAGATGGGGGTATGGCTATGATCGAAGGGGGGAGTTTCACCCTAAATACAAGGGGGAAACATCGAAGGGAGAGAAAATTGGGGAGGTAATGCTAGGGCGATGAAGTTGAAGATGTTGATCTTCGAAGGGGAAGACACACATGGATGGGTTTATCTGGTGGAGCAATATTTTGCAGTGAATGTGCTAAATGGTGAGGAGTTCTTGGCTGCAAGGTTATGTTTGGAATGAAAATCCCTAGCATAGTTTCAATGGAGGGAGGCAAGATACCTGATCCGTTCATGGGATAAATTTAAGGATTGCTTGTTAGAACGTTTTAGCCATTCGAGAAAGGGGCCTATGCAAGCGGCTCTATGCCTTGACTCAAGAGGGGACTGTCATGGAATATAGGGAGATATTCAAACTATTGTTGGGATGACTGAGGGGGGTTTATAAAGCAGGATTGGTGAAGAATTTTATGAAGAGTTTAAAGCCCGACATATGTTCAACACTTCGACTGTTGAAGCCACGGAAATTGAGAGAGGCGATGGAGCTCACCCAGCTAGTGAAAGACAATTACTAGATGGAGAACACCCCAGGAGGATTTCATAAGAGTACCTCAATGACGATGACACCAAGGACCCAGACAGTGTCATTTCAGAAGGAAGCGTTAAAGAAGAGGAATATGGGGGCCCGCCGGGGG